TTTACCAACGAGTAAAGCAGTTGTGTTGATTTCACCTTCACCATTGTATTCAAGAAAGATCAAACGACCCTGATGACGATCGACAACTATAAAATATCGATCGTCATTGAATTTACAAAAACACTTTTTAGTTACTTACCACTTGCAGCTCGATTAACAGCAGCAAATAATGGAAAATTTTTTTCAAATTCTTTTTTATCTTGCACTACTTTGACCTACAAGACATATAAATATTATTTTAAAATACATCATAGAAAGAAAAAAAAAGTCGTTTTTTTGTTACTTTAACACCAGATGAACCATGAAATAATTCTTGAACATATTCACTAACACGTGGTGGTGCCATACGTTCAGGATCACCACCACCAATATCTCGACCAACAACACGTCCAAATTCAACTGCTCGAGCATATTTAATTAATTTTTCATAATAAGTATCATCAGGTGATGCTTGACCAATAAAAAAACCTAATTTATCAGCTTTACTCTTGCGTTCAGGCACATCTTCTCGAACTTGTAATGGCTAAAAATGAACAATTTATTTTTTTTTGTGATGAATATCAAAAGAACAATCATCATTTTCTTCTCATTTTTACCACATAAGTTGCTTCGAGTGCAGCAAGTAATGTAACTAAATTAGCTTGTCGAAATCGTTTTGAACCAAAACATGCAACAAGAGGAGATCTTGCGCCAATAGATAATGCTTTTCTAACACCAGCTGATGCTGCTTCAGAAAAACGACGTACATCATCAAAATCTCGATTGATTGGACCAGTTGGTGAATAAATCTAAACAATATATTATTTCTTTAAGTATTTCTGTTTTGGCTTATTTATACGTACAAGACGTTTGCCTGGTGCATTCTCATTGATAACAAGTGTAACTTCATTATTAAAATTATTATTCAACTAAAATGAAAATATAATTGTCAAGCAGCAAAAAAAAAAGATTTTAACATTTTCACTTGAATAAATGATTGAAGATCTTTTGTCATTGAACTATCAACAAATTCTGTAATTTCATCCAATTGTGTAGCAACAATGACTAAGGCATCATAATCTGTTAATGGTGATGATAAATTTTTCACCAAATTAACATCACTAGAAATCATAAAGAATTATAGATTTGGAAAAATTATGTTTCTTTTTCTTTTCACTTACACGACAGTAGGCATTTGATTTGGAGCCATGGTCAAAATATTGTTACAATCTTCAACACAAAATGATGAAGTGAAGGCAAAGTTACATTTATCTGTTACTATTTATATGGTTGAAAAGGAAGAAAAAGAACGAAAAAACATTAAGGAACAATATTCCTCTTCGTTCTCTGACTATTATACCTGGATTCTATTGTAAAGCAAATACAAATGAGAGGACAACATGCCAACGGTTTACTTATCATGGTAATTTATCGTATTCATCATTATCGTGCATTATAAGTCAAGAAAAGTGTAATAGATATATGATAAAGCAATATTCAAAAAAAAAGGGAACCAAGCTATTTTCTTTGCTTTTTTTATTTCAAAATGGAAAAGAATTTCTCTTTTTAAACGTGCATATGTCAAATTTCATAGTGTTTATAATTAACTGAAGAAAAATAAATCAATATAAAGGATCATATAAATATATAAAAATATCATCTCTTCATACAATCCGCTTTATGTTTTTCTCAGGAAACGTCGATTAAAAAAAATAACAAACCATATCGAAGAGAAATATAAAAACAACGAAATCTCAAATAAAATAATACTTTCGTTTTTACATTTTCTTTTCTCTACGTCTCACGTCAATCTATACATCCGAATTTATACGCCGTTTCTATACTTCCGAATGTCTCGCACATGGCAAACTGGAAAATTGGATTTAATGACTCAAGAGTAAAAGAAATTGCCTGTATAAATAATATTTTAGATCTGGATTGCAGCATTGAACTACATAGTACCGCCCCCAAGAATCGCAACTAATATTAGCCTTTGTGAATACAGTAAACACTGACAGTATTTTACTTTTTGAAACTACTGACAAGGAAGTATAGAAAGGACGTAAAACTAAATGGATCAATAGATTTTGGACATTTTTTTTATCGTTTCCGATCGAAACGATAAACCGGATCGATTGTATCAGTTAATGAAACACAAAGAAAAAAAATAACCCTAGAACAAATGATACAAAGCACATATATGTAAAAAAAACAAAAAGCTAGAAAATATTCTATGGTAAAAATATACGTTGATATTCTCGAATAGGTGTACGACAAAGTGGACATAATTCTTCACCACGATTTCTTGATTGTAAAGTTTGTGCACATGAATGACATAAACCTAAATGTGAACATGGTTGAAGACTATAAACAATTTCATTTTCTAAACAAATAACACATCGAAGTCGAGCATTTGCATTATTATCTGTCTGATTTGTATCATTTGTTGGTGAAATATTTGGTAATCGATTTGTTTGTTGTCGACGTTTGCAATAATACTTATATAATAAATAAGCACCTGTACCTATAGCAGCAATACCAAAACATATACTTATAACTCGAACTAAAAGTGAACGATCACGATATTGAGAAACAATTTCAGCACGAGATGATCGTGTTAATATTCCACCCCATGTTTTATGTGGAACAAGATACCAAATACCGTTCGATTGTTTTTCAAGACGACCGACGCCAGTTAATGGAACATCGACTAGTAACATTTGTTCTCTGGTTTCAATACCTAAAGAAAACAAAAAAAATTTTTTTTTAATATTTTTCATTATAATGACTACAATACAGTAGTAGAAAAAAGTCTTCATTCCCTTGTATTTCAACCATCATCCTTACTGAAGATAGAATTAAAATGGATGGTACCTATTTTGAGATACACGATCTAAAAGAAGTGTTCAAGTATAGAAGTAAAAAGTTGGATTCATTTTTCTGTACCATAGATCGTTACAGACGTAATTAGAGACCGTCACGGACGTTGCTAATAGACGTTCAAAGACTGTAAATCAAGGATGTCTCGTTATCATATATTATTTGCTTTCTTATAACATTTCTGAAAGATTAAGTAAAATGATGGCGAAGAAGCGTATCTCAAAACAGATAACACAAAACAATCTTCCTATGATTAGCAATAGCAACTGTATTGTGCTTTATATTTTAATCCGATAGGGAATGCACTAACAGCTTGTTTCTTTGAACTCTATAAATTTTTGAAAGGCTGTATGATCAATTTTGCATTGTTTCTTGGCAAATGCAGGACTAATTGTTCATATTTTTACATTAAACTAACATTCAGTCTATGATTTTTCTTCACTCAAAAGATGAATTAATTTGTTAGAATATGGATGTTTCTGAAGTTTCAACGTCGACATGATGATCATCGATGCACTATTTCTCTAAAATACAAGGTTTCATTCAGAAACTTGTAGACAATAATGTTTAATTACAGGGAAAATTTCCCTTACATTTTTATTTCGGTACATTGAACTATCACTGAATTATTGATCTATAAAAAGCAATAGACAGTATTACTTCACATCAAGGATTACAGTAAAATAGCCACAATTCTCTAAAGACTTGATGAATTTCGATAAAAAATTAGTAATACAAATAGATGAAGCAAAGCGCTTCGGCTATCATAATTCTCTGTGAACTTAAGAATTCGCAATGAGCTCGTGTCGCTGATCTATATGTGTGCACACGTTTTCAGGTTTTTTACAAATCTTTGATGGCTGAGATTCAAGTACAATGAGACTTTTCTTTACTACTGTACTTAGTTTCTTTTTTACCTGTTGATAAATCTCCAAGAAATGTATCGACAATTTTTTGTATAGAAGAAGTAGTATTAGGTTCAAATTTTACATGAATTACTTCTAATTGATCTTCAATTGAATTAAATTTTAATGGTATATCAATACGAATATAATTTCCTGATGGTGAAACAAGTCGAAATGGTACATGACGTGTGACATCACTAATGGTTTTGTTCGCTTCAGTCCTTCATTGAACAGAAATGAATTTTTTTATTTATTTTTCTTTTTCAAATACCTACCAAACATTACGAAGTTTTTCAAGTTTTTTTTCACGTACAGTTAAACGATGAATAACACCTAGACAATGTGGATGAAATTGGGATTTTATTACTGAATTTGACTTTGAATCATTTGTTCGAACAATTCCATGTATAGCTGCATAATCGATAGAAGTTTTTGATGATGAAAATTGTTTTAAATTATCTATATCAATATCAGGTGCTACCTAAAACATGAAAGTTTAGTTTTTTATTATTCAATAAATTAGTATCTGTTCAAATTTATGATTTCTAAAAATATCGATTCCTTTGTTTTATTTTTGGCGCTAAGAGAATTTCAATAATAAACATGGTCAATGAAATTTTCTTTTCATGAAATAATCTGACATATATATGAAATAGTGATGAATCTAGGATTTCGTAATATTAAATCGATCATGGTCACAAAGAATATTTTAGAACGATCGTTCTTAATGCCTCCCCTATAGATCCACCATTGATATGAGAACAGACTAATACATATTTCAATGCTGCATCGATTGTTATTTTCTATATTGATTATAAAATGTTAAATACGCATGCAGTTGAAATTATTGTTTGTACAGAACAAATCATTTCCTATGAATTATTTTTCGAAAATTTTCATCAAACATGATTAAAACCAAACGAATCACATTGAAGTTTTGTTTGCTTTGCAAAAAATCTTTGAATAAAAAGACTCTCTGAAACTTTGATTAATATGTTTCTACCTCTAAAACAGCCAAGAATTTATCATTCGATTTCCACCATCGATAAAATCCATAAGATATACCAATTTCACCAACTAGCCAAAACCAATTCCAATCGAACATTGTCTGGAATATATATAGAAAAACGAAATATTTTACTTCTATCTTATTTTTGTTTAAGAAAACAATACAATTGTGTTGTTTGATTTTTATTCAAAACAGATAACAAAACAAAAAACAAAAAAAAAAACATATTAATTTTTAGTTTTTTTGCGTTTTAATTGTTGTTGTTGAAGGTATTCTTTAAGTTTAGCATCACGTATTTGTGTTTTACGTGCAAGTTTTTTACCAATTTTTCCTTTTTTCTTATTCGATTTAATAATTAATTCTTTCGGTTTAACAAAATTAAAATTATTTCTTTTTTCTTCTTGTTTTCTTATAAATGCTTTTCGATCGATTTCACTTAATATTGAATTATCCAAAGCAATCATATCAGGTTGAATCTAAATACAGAAGTATAATAATAAAAGTAAATTATTCACAATAAATTTTCATACTTTATCAAGTAATTGTTTAACTTCTGCATTTTTTCGTTGTTTTTTTGTTTGATATGGATTTGCTTCTAATGCATCAAAATTTGGTTCACCTGCACCAGGTACAAGTAATGAAATAAATCCTCGGTCATGTCCAACACCTAATACATCTTCATAGGGACAAAAGGCTAATGATGATGCTGATGAGCTATTTGAACATCGATGAACAAGATAACGTGGTAATTCATTTGATGAAGATTCATTATCATATATATCTTTGTAAATCTATAGCAAAAAAAAAGTAGTTTCGATTTGAATGAAATCAACTTTTGTAGCTCTAATTTCAATCACGCTTAGCCAAAGACTAGCACTTATGTAGGACCTCTTTCTTGAGTTATGTTCGCATTGATGATGTGTAAGAGTAATCTTCTTAAAACCAACTAATAATTAACTTTGATTTTTAGTTTTGACTGGGACAAGTCTTTTTGTGATGGCACCAGTCTCTGTAACTTCCCTTTCTTTTGATCCCGTACATTTCTAGTCATCACATATCAACAGATACTTTTATCTAATGACAGTGTTATCATTAACAAGAATGGTCTAAGCAATCATTCTACTCATATAACAATAAAATTAAAGATTTGAATTTATCCGATACGATTAAGTGTAAATTCAAATATAATTTCACATTAAGTACAAAAATGAAAAATAACTCGATTAATTCTCAAAAACGAAGAGCTTAAATAAAAATCAGTCATTATCAGAATCAAGCCAGCATAGAATTTAACAAACCTAAGACAACAACTAAAGTCTTAATTATTGAATCGACAAATCAATCTGAGTACGTTTTTTAAGAAAACTGGTAGGTAGAATACATCAAGTACTATTCTCAAAATAAGAGTCAATTAAGATTTGATAATTATAAGACTAACATTAAGACTGCCTAAGAAATGTGCAGAGTATGCTATTTATTGAATACAGATAATCCAAAAAGTATCTCACACATTCTAAACGACTATCATGTTTGGATTAAAAATTCTTTCTTTGAGACTATTAAGAGTACGATTCAAGTTCGAGTAGTACTGATAGCTTCCGAAGATCGCATAGAACTGCTTTAGTTAATTTGGTTTCCGATCTCTGTCAGAAGTTTCACAAAACTCCTCACCTCCGATGTCAAATACCGTATATGAATAACGTCCCTTGATCATATATGAACTATTTAGTTATTTCATTTCTGAAGGATTAAGTAAGAGGATGATGAAGAGATATATCTCAATAATAGAGGGAATAAAACAATTTCCTGTGATAAGCAAGAGTAGCTACATCATGTTTCATATTCATTTCCTAAGAATATATCATAATAGAAAACGATTATTATTACCTCTACAACGTCTCTATAACTAGCTGCTAAAAGTTTTTTTTGACTAAATGCCAATGTGGATGCACCATTCGATGATGTACGATATTCATGTAAACATTTATAATTTCTTAAATCCCAAATTTTTAATTTTGCATCAACACCACTTGTCGCCATATATCTAAAAAAAGCATATTTATTAAAAGGAAAAAAGTTTCATAAAAAAATTTTCCTTACGTTCCTGTTTGATCAATTGTTATTGATCGTAACGTTGATTTATGTGCAAGCATTTTAACTAACGGTTCACGTTGATTTGGTGACCAAAATGTTAAAACTCCACCAGCATGACCAAGACCAATAAGTGCATTCGCAGGATTTTGACACATTACTGATGTACCACATTTACCATTTCCATTTGCTATTCTTGTATTATAAGAAGCAATTTTCTTTCCAATTGATACATCTATATATGATAAATATCCTGCTTCGTTCTAAAAGAATTTTATTCAAAAAAAAATTATACACGAAAATATCTTTATTTACTGTAGCAGCAAGTAAAAAATGATAAGGTAAAAATTCTAGATGTAATGAACGATCAAGTACTTTAAGACAATGCACTTCAACACCTTGATTATCATAAATATAAGTCCATTGTCGTTGTGCAACTGCATACATTGTTTCAATATGTAACCATCTGAGATAGAAAATCATATTAAAAAAGAAGCAAATCATTTATATAAATTTCTTACTTTACATCATTGACTTGTTCCATAACATTCATTTCACAATGTAATTTTTTTGTTTGCCAATCAAATGCAGCTACATGACCTTTTCGACCACCTAATAATAAATGTCTAAAAGTAAAAGAAAAAGCAATTTTCATATTAGCATATTTTGTTTTCTTTTTTTAATAACTACTAACCGTCCATTTCGTGTATAATCAATATGATAAGGTCCATATAATGGAAGTTCAAGATCAAAACGTTTTTGTGCACTAAATATATCAACTGATGACTTAATATCTGTTTGAGTTAAATCAGCTGTTCGTTGTTCTTCATCATCAATATTGTTTGGAGCAATATAACTGTAAAAAGAAATTGAATTCAATTTGAACTTAGTTATATGTTTGTTATAATTTTACCCTTCTTCTTCAACATGTAGAATTTCAGCACGTGTTGTTTGTCGAGCAGCAAATTTTGCTTTACGTTCTTTTACATAAAGCCATTTCTTAGTACGGCGTGTAGTCATTCTTACCAAAAACAAACAAAACTTCTGAAAATATGCTATAAAACTGCTTTAAGAGGATGTTATGAATCATTCATCATAAAAAATAATACTAGTCTAGTCAATCAATCAAATCTGAATGGATAGATGGCGCATACAAGCAAAAGATTGGTTTGTCAAATATTTCCTTTTTGATTCGAGATATGCAGCTATTTGATAAGATAGAAGAATCCTATACGTTAATTATAACAAATTATAACTCATTTCCGAAGGAAAAACTGTACCTGTTATTTGAATAACTTTTGATAAGAACAAGGAGCTTCGATTTTCTTCGTTGCAAAAAGAAGATTCAGGCGCACATATAGGTGCTAAAATTTCATTGACTAGGGCTGTATCAATCACATTACTTCTTAGCAGACATTTTGAAATGATATACTGGGTTCATTTCTTAGTTGCTCTTAATTATTGACATGATCGGTACATATGAAAAATTGTTTGTTTTGGATCTGCGCAAGACTAAATCACTAGCTGGTTTCGTTCAAAATTTAAAGAGATTTTCTTGAGACTCTCGATTAGATCCAATAGACCTGGGACCATCGATAAACGCGTGATTTTTCTATATCGGTGTCACATTGTGAGAGTGTATACCATTCCGAAAAACCATGATCTACAAACATGTCTATTGACTCAGCGATGGATTATGATGTTTCTTTTGCATTCTAGTACACTCAAATGAAATTACTGTTTCATCGAACATGTACGCTCTTAGTTTTTCATTGCCGAATGCATGAAAATAACAAATTAATGATTACTTAAATATTGATTCTGATATCATTGCTATCTGGAGTGTTAAGGTGAAAGCACATATACACATTCAGCAAATGAGGGTGTCAAGACAATGCTAAGACACGTCGAAACACACAAAAGCATGACAATAGTTGAAGATATCACAGAAACACTGTCGCATCCATGTTAGAAAATAAGCATATTAAGGAAACAGGCATACAATGCATTGCATTGGATAATACATAAGCCAGAAAAAGACTTACTATAATTTTTTCATTCTACCGATGTTATCCATGATGTTCTTCAGATGATTATTCCCATTTTAGATGTGTGTTGAATATTTTGGAAATTCAATTATTTTCTTGGAGAGTTGTATTAGGCCTCGGGTTCTACAGAGGCTAAAATCTGAAGCGTCCATCTTCACAGATGACGTTTATATATCTTCATGTCCATCTCGATATGTAATCAATCGATCGGTGTCATCCAATGAGCACTAATATGTGGCATTTTCATCGGCGCGGTATCTGCATTATAACTTATAATTTGAAATCAATTTTTGTTTTGCCTTTTTTGCTGCAGTTATAGAACAGTCCCACCTCAATTTTAATTAGTAATTGAAATAAAATTTTTTTTTCTTGTTTTTGTCTACAAGAGTCTTTATATGTTTTCGAACTTTTTATTTACACTCGAATTCGTATTATACATACACTCATGGACAAATCATTCAAATTGACGCAACACAACCTAGTTTCAAATGAATCTATTTACTGATACATGAGAGAACATAATGAACCGAAACGGATGCCGAACGAACGGTAGATTTTGTTCTATATTAGCGAAAGAAACTGGAAAATGTAAGAAGAGTAAGCATTTGTAGAGATAAAGCTAATGAGAAATATTACTTTTTGCTAAAGAATGTTTATCTACAAAAGATAAAACCTTCAATTTGTGCTCAAATATACACGATTTCGCAAGGCTTTTTTATAAGACATTTATTGAAATTATCAACTTGGCTTGTTGAAACACCATAGCCGATCAATTCATTTGAGTTAACATATTCTTAACGACTTTTATTTATTGTTCTATAATTCTCCCATTGATACTTCTGATCTTGAGAGTATGTAATTGTCTCTTCTCCCAAAAAGCCAGAGATGATGATGAACCAAGTAACATAATAATATTTGTCTATATGAAGGTGAATACGCGAGAGAAATGATTCGTCTAATTGTTGTTATCAGAACTGAAAAAAACACACGACGATATTCTCAACATTTTATCTTGACTCTACCATGTGACCATTTTTTGCTGCGTATATCAGCAAATATTGTCACGGGCGATCCTATCTAAAAGTTGAATTTTGTTTTTTTAACATCTTGATATTGAGTTAATCGCCAAATTAACTGTAAAGATTTAGTACGACAAAACATGAAACGTACAACCCAACACAAATTGTCCTCTACTATATAACTTGCCTTGTTTTATCGTAACTCAACATTTCTGTTCTAACTTCAGAATTGTCTCATGACCTGTATTGTCTTATATCTACTCCTAGTTTTTGTCAATCTTCATCCATGTGTGTTGCCTTGCATGCAAGCATGGAATGGTAGTGGTACTGGTGCTTGGTATCGTGTTGATACATCATGCTTATATTCTTTTTCATTCACCACATTATTACAATGTTTGCCAACTATTGTCATACCTGCTAATGTGACATTAGTGACCGATGGTTTTTTCATTAGTCTTGGAATCTTTAATCGTTTGAATGGTATTGGCCTAGATATTGGTCTGACATACGAACCTCGAACAAGTAAATGGTGGTCCTACGCTAATGATGTTCGAGGGTGGAAATCTGGAAGTATTTCGATAGATTCTTCAGTAAATCGATGTATCAACATATCCCTGTCAATATCTGATGGCTACGTTAAATATCTTGTTCGAACAAACAATGGTTCAATAGTATTAGGTCAAGATTTATATCTGGCATCACAACTTGATCCACAGTTGAATCTGACTGTTAATAGTTCAAACTTTGGTTTTTATCGTTTCGATAGTATTGCTCAAACAAAGGAAACATTGAAGAGTGGATCATGTATGATTCACGCACAACTGATCGAATGGTTTCTGGAATTAGATTCTCAAGTTTTTGTTCCAGCTAGAGGCGATTATATGGCCTCGAATATTCGAGGTTATCCTCCGGGTCCATGTTGTACACAAAATGAAATCAATACGATACTTGTACATAATGAAACTGAATGGAATCAAGCTGATATTACAATTTCTTATCTCTGAATCTATTCTTCTTTTATTTTTTTAAGATAAAGTTACATGGAAAAATAAACTTTAGTCATATTCAGTTAGTTTTCATCAAGAACATTCTTCAAATAACCATTCATTTGGAACAGAAATAAGGAAGCACGAGCTCATTTCACGTTGACCTTGATTCTACATAGCATCCATGCATAGAAATTATGCCGTTTGTGATCTATCAGGAGGTTCGTCTTATGAACTGCACTCGAAGCAGTCAATTTTTCTGCCAATGTCTCGCTAAAAATAGAACTACAATAGTTCCATATCAGTCGTGATCTTAAGAGCTGGTTTATCAGTTCCAGTTCCCGGAGACTATTATAGAGCGACTGAAAACAAAGCCAATAAGGACTTTGTTGCTTCAATCACCTTAAAACACAAGGTTGAATGTGACCATTGAAGACAACAACAGGGATAATTTATTCACTACAAATTTACTAGCCACGAGATTTTTTTTAACAATAAATAATTTGCCAACGTTACCGTTATTATGTGTTAGGCATGAATCATATTGTTTGTTATGACGTCTCTGAACGAATCCACTATATTCTTGTGCATGCATATCGTCAGAGTGGCATTCGCTTTCAAGGTCTCTAAGGCGATGTGTGACGCGTATTATATCATGGGAAAAAATGTTGAAACGAATCATCAAGAACTGGATTCAGGAGAACGAAAATGAGTGGCTTTCATCGCTTGAAAGTCAATCAGCCCCGAAACTCGGCCTTTTATTGATCCATCAATGTGTTGATTGCTCTCTGCAGAGATACAGACTTCATTCACAGGTTGCTAGAGGGCAATTAAAAAAACATCAGTACAAGTCACCTCTTTTCTTATCACTCTACTCTTAGTTTTTACGGTACTAATTATGATTGATGAATGGTATTTATCATACCAAACACATGAGTCATTAACATTGTAGACACATGAATGAGTGGTTGAAGATATGATCATCACTTATCCATCCTGATATATGACATTTCTTACCACTAACAAACTTTTCTAATCTAAAATCTTGATACTTGTATCGGCTTCCCAATATTAACACTGAACATGAGAGTGAATTACAAGTTAGTGGACTGCACACCCACATTTACATTCTGCAGATGCTTGCAGGGCGAATTAGGCCCCTTAGTGCTTCTGTTTTTGTGAGTCTGTTTAATTCTACAACGCAACGACAGCGTATCATTCTAGTTTTGGTTGTTCACTTGATTTTGTTTCTGCGAAGCTAAGACAATAACAAATTCTTGCACGAAATAGTGAGGCATATTCAAGTATTTGAGAGTGAGAATTATCAAAATTTTCATAAGCTCAATAATCACACAGCAAAGTAGATAAAAAGTTTTTAGAAAGTTCTTCAATTTCGGTAGTTGCAGAATTGCAGAAGCCACATGGTTTTGCGATGACCGAACAATTAAGAACGAAAAGGTTTGAAATTTTTAAAACTTCCAGGATTTCTCATTGTGGAAATCTAAATAATTTTGGTGATCGCAAATTAAAACAGAGAGACAGTAATCATAAAATTTTGTGGACAAGAATTTTTCTGAGCCCGCAATTAGAAACATTTGAGCCCGATGAAATTAGTTCGGGCTCAAAAAAAAAATGTTTTGTGTCTTTTGACTTCGAAATATGAAATGAGCCCGATTATCCATTGTTCTGAACCTGCTATAGTTTATTTAGTTCAAAAAAAATAACATAATTTTATATAACAGAAAAAAATCATCGACAAAATTTACATCGGGTAATTTTAGTGATCGATGGTAATTTAATAAACTACATAATTGTGAACGTGAAACAACACCTTCATATTGATGTTCAATAGCTCGATGTGTTTGAATGTAAGAAAGACCAGCTGCAACAGAATTTATAACAATTTCTCTAACTGGTGATGGTGCTCGTGTTGTTGATGCACGATGAGCATGATTATGTTCATTGGATGTTGAAACTGTTATTCCACCATCATAAGAAAAAAATAACTTTGACTTGAAAATCGCACTCAGGATATTTTCTGTACTTTGAACATCGATATATGACCTTCTTTCCAGCTTCAATTTCTTCTGTACGTTTTATAGATACAGCATTTTGTACGATAAAGGATTGAAATTCATTTTCACTGAAAAATTTGTCGACAATATTCCACGTTCGGTTGGGCATAGTGAAATGTTTAAGAAATACAATAACAAACGTGTAAGAAATTCAAAAAATACTGGATGTACACAAGTTACGCATCATGATAATCTATCGTATTGATGAAATTTATCATGCACGTGCCATCTACACAATATCTTACGGCCGGGCTCAAAACAATAGATAGCCGGGCTCAACAGACACATAACATTTTTTTGAGCCCGGACGAATTTCATCGGGCTCAAATCTGTCTAATTGCGGGCTCAAAAAAATATTTATCCAAATTTTGTCATACGAGAAAGGCTTCAAGCAGCGCAATGTCTTTAATCATATCAGTTCTATTTCGCATTATTAAACAAATGTAATTATGATAATTACAACGATATAAGACAAGACACTTACCGAAGAAATAAGAGAAAGTGTACGATGAAAATGTCAGAAACAAATTATACTTATAGAAACAGACAAGGATTTTTACATTTGACAATCAATTTTTATAACAACAGTATCTCAAAATTTACTATCCGATTGTGCTGAATCTAAAAACGTTCTTCTATTATTGAACATAAGTTCTACGACAGTAAATTGACGTTAGGCTCAAGCATTTGTCACTAGAATCGAGTGAATTTGTTAGCATATTCTTAAATAATAGGGTGATGCATCAGTATCTGAATGTAAAAACTTAGAAGTCAGTTCAACAATTTTAGCCTGACAAGCGCCGGTGTGGATGTGGCTGTGTGTGTCAGCATTTCTACATGGGCATCCACACACCCACACTCAGCGGTAATAATAATAGACAGATTCAGCACTTTCTTGTGTTTTTCATTTCTAAGACCTGCTTGACGTCTAATGATCGCTTTGCCTTGTAGTCTAAATTGGAATAAGGAGTTTGTGATAGTTAAGGATACCGTATGCGCATCATCGATCCAATCATTGAAACTTCACGATGTATGAGTCTTGAAAAGATCAAAGATGATGAACGGGATGTAGGTTTGAACTGTACGCTAGCGAATGAATTTAAATGGCAATGTGGATCAGAATAAAACTTTCACCTACACATACATTGACATTCTACAACATTGAAAAAGCAAACGTTGGACGAGAAAGTGTGATGAATAAAAGATCCTACTGAAGTTTCAAACAATTATAGTAGATCGAAACCTGGTGGAGCAGATCTTTAAAATGCACAAATAAAGCGAAGTTCATGGAACGGAAACTGTTGTTGCTAGACACACTAGCGATCGTGTTCACTCCTTTCAAGATGTGAGAAAGCTCGAGCACAACGACTAAGAATCATTGAAAGTGTCTCCCATGGCGTAAATTTCTGCGAAAAAAACGCGTTCTCAAAACGCATTTTTCCATAGTTGCGAAACGCGTTAATGCTGACCGGTTTAACGCATTTCACATCTGCTAATACGAACGCTGTGAAACGATCGTTTTTCTAAAAACGTTTCGTAGCGTTTCTCTAACTGTGGTGTCGTATATTCTAGATGGAAAAAAATGAAAACCGTCAAGTACATCATGCACTTTGAGTTGCAGATACAATTAATTTACTCGCTTACATTTTTCATACACCTTTAGAGCTATAACTTAGATCAATTTTGATAAAGCCAACACATAGATTCGAACACGAGAACATAAGAGTAGAAGACATGTGTACAAACCGTTCAACTAAAATAACCTAATGATATAAGTGCTTATTCTATAGTCTTGCAGAGTCTTCCGTAAACTTACTAAATTAGATTTTCAGTATCCCAAACCATTAAATTAAAAATTATCATTTCCTTGGTGCCTATACCCAATAACGAGTTTGATCTCCTCTTGGTATATTTTTTATTTGAACTTGTTTAAATTTAAATTTAAATACCCAATTGAAACGATTTTAATTAATTTAAATTGTATTTAATATTTAAACAAGTTGAATCTCTTAGATATAAATTTTAAGAAATTGAAAAATAAATTTTTTGAATTGTTTTCTTTATTTGATAGATTTTTGTATATGTAAATTCGTCATCCTTTTATCCAAAAGTATCACTGAATGCAAAGAATCTTCTTTTGTAAATCGAATATTCTTTTTATTAATAAGTCGCGTTTACATTAACAAAGTACGAACTAAATTCATATTTAATAGTATTGTACACAGTATCATCAGTCACTATCAAGTAGTCCAAATATGAATTCATACCAATAATTATTCAAATTATAAATAACTCGAGATTCTTTTCTTCACAAATAAACAAACAAAGTTGTTGTACACATTATACTAGCATCAGTCTTTACTAAATCTTTTCGAATTGTTCAATATTTAAAACAATGCTTGGTTGAACGTTACGAAACACGTTTTCTTTCAATAAAAACCTAGTGAAATGAGTTTTCAAGAAAGAAAAAAATATTTTTCTTACACTTTGATGTTCAATATTAGTCTAACTACCAATCAGACTTATATAACAGTCTAGCAGCCTAAACATTTAGAAGAATTCGATGTTAATTTTGCGTTTGGAAAGTTTGGGTCATGATTTTCATGTTGAGAAACAGTGCAAGGAACAAAATATTCAAATCCCATTTAGTATAATTTCTAAAATAGTGCCAGAATTAACTTTGCTTAACCCGTACGTTTTGTATAGATAAATTCCTGCAAGATTCTGTATGCAAAACGGATATATTTTGCATCATTTCAAACAAAAACGATACAGAATGCGTTTGAAAAGGAAGCGCGTTTCACATTTCTCCGAATCTGTGTCTCTGGAACGCGTTACCTATCGACCGAAATGCGTTCGACATTATTTTACTTCGGAAACGCTTCGAAACGCAATCTTGGAAAAACGCGTTTCAGATCGTTTCAAAAACGACAGCAGCAAAACGCATTCTATCGAAGTAAGAATGCTGTGAAACGCGTTCTATATTGAAAAAACGCTGCGAAACGCATGCTGCAATCTCAGAAACGCGTTACGCAGTCCGTTTCCTTGAATATTTTACTTCATGGGCTAGAAGAGATGATTTCGTGGAGTGTAGTGTAATAGCCAGATCAAATCAGTATTGCATTCTTCCATTGATCCAAAATTCGCAACACACAAAAGAAAGCGAGAAATGCACTGAAAATGCATTCGGCCAATCCAAAACGGTCGTGTTCTCCTTTGTGTTTTCAAAATCTGCAACATCAAAGAATTCAATATCGATGGTAATAAACAAGGCTCATAGGAATATATCAATTGAAGTTTTATTATTCAAATCATTTTCATTAAAGACTTAAGAAAACGTGAACAGAAACATTCTGAACTCCACTTTTGATGTATAATATTTTCAAATTGAAAGCATGTGATTTCTTCTTTATTCAGTCTACAAAGTACTGCACAAATTGCTGATGCTCGCTGACATGGTGATGAAACTTATTTTTCCTGTATAAATGAAAAACAAAAGTCAGGTCTACTGATCTGTTTTGAATTTGCTGGATGATACAACATATTTTGTCCTTGTATTTGCTCAGTCGATATACATAGACACCTGATTCTTATCAATAGGAATCTCAAACATCGAATTAGCGCGCATAAGACGACTCAGAGTCTAGATTATTCGTACTGTACGATGGGTCGAAAGGTTCTATACAGGATGTATTTGTGCCTGAATAAAAATATGTGGAATAATGGCCAAGAGAAGACTCATAACCGCATACATGAAACACACATCACTTGACAGATATTTTTTACTTCAAGATTGATTTTTGTAATTATTATTCATTATATCTTTGTTTCTGAAAGGAAAATAAAGTAATACGAAGCAACTTAGCGATGATTTTATATTTTAGATCATATATTTGAATTATCGTCAAAACGATTAAACTTCGAGATAGACGTTGAAAGAACGATAAAACTACACAATGAAAATCAATTTGGTTAATAAATACGATTCAATCATGATTGTCCTAGTGTTTTTTGCAATTCGGCTAATTGCAAAACCAAATCTTCTATCGTTTTCTTCAAAGGAGTGTATTTAACACCTAATTCTTTTTGTGCTTTAGAACTATCAAGTTGATAATGATCCGGTAGTTGTTGACCTTTAGTACCAACTGGTGTGGTATTCTTTACATTATCTGGAATAATGGTACTTTCGTGAACAATATCAGCTATTTCTTGAAAACTCCAGGTTCCACCTGCTATTAGATAGCGTTCGTTGGTGTCAGTTGATCGTTCTAAAGCTGCTATATGTGTATAAGCAACATCTCTTACATCAACTTCGACCGGTACACGTGTTTCAGGAACTTGAGCATCTTTGCCACTCGTAATTAATGATTGTACAATTGCATTGGAGGTATTGACATCATCCAATGATTTGAAACCATTAACGCGTGGTCCGAACACCATTGGTTCACATATGGTTGCGATCGTAAATGAAGGTTTCTCTTTCTCAATAAATTCCCATGCAGCACGTTCTGCACATACTTTTGACGCACGATAAGCCGTCATCGGTTCATTTTTTGCAGCAGCACCTTGTTCATAAGTTATTGGCGACCAATCATTTTCTGTATACGAATAGCCGGGTCGAAATCCTTTATTTGGATCCAAGATTGAAGCAAATGAAGATGTAATCACTACTCTTTTGATCTTATTTTCTTTGTTTTGATTGTATTTATGAGCAGCTTTTAGAATCCCTAGGGTTCCATTGATGGCTGGCAAAATTAAATCTTTCTCTGGATTTGTAATCTTAAAATGAAATGGTGAAGCAACATGAATGATACCATGAATACCTTGAACAGCTTCTTCAAACGAGTCTGTAGTAATATCACTGATGTGTACGAATGAAATTCGACTATGATAATCTTTCGAAATGCCATCAAGAACTTGATATTCTTTGGCTTGAGATCGAACTGTTCCACGAACGTTGTAGCCTTTTTCCAGGAGATATTTAACAATCCAGGTACCAATAAATGAATTCGCACCTGTAACAAGAATTGTTTCGGGCATTGTGATAAAAATCTAGAAAAAAATCTAGATCTCAGATATAGCTAATGGAGAATGATGAAATTATCATTTTTTTTGCTCTTAGCTAACGATGCTGGACTGCTTGTAGAGAAAAGAATGGTAGATAAGCAAAAGCAATACGGTCTCGCGTGAAGATTCATAACAGACTTTGTACTAGAATAGTCGACCTTCCCAGATAATACAGATATGACCAGTCAGGAAATAGGAGTAATCACCAAGTCGAAATAACCTAAATAGGATCACAGAAAATCGCGAGAAAACACAGTACGTTTCTAGAAAAGTTATCTTTTGAGATTTTCATCATCCGAATTGGATGATAGCCAATATTTTCTTATAAAGATACAATACCTGGCAGGTATGCGAAAATATATAATTCCCTGTCCTTAAATGATGAATAAACTGTTCGCACGAACAATGACTAGATGTGCTTACAGTTCAGTAAAGCGATCCATATTTTTATAAATAAATACTAAAATGATCAGAACTGCGTTTTGGTAAGTTTTGAATGATGCCGATCATGTTGCTTACTTCCATCTGATTATACGAATAAAATATATTTGCAGCAACGATTTCAACTGCGTCGTTGCTCTGTTTCTTTTTCTCTTTTATAGTGCGACTAAAAGCGAACGACGTCATATTGAAGAGAACGAAAAAAACCTATATACCGTCGCTATTAGTAGTGTTCGTTCTTTGTGTTCTCGTTGGAGTATTTATTTTTGATAAATCTCCCATTTCTTATTTTGCATACGTCAGCTTGACGTAGATGTCTACCTTGAAGCAAAAAAGAACTCAATTTTGCATATATAATGTTAAAGCGTCAATCAAAATGTCATGAAAGAAAGGAATGAGTTTTTTCAGTAGATAGGATAAAATTGAATATTGTAAAATAGAAACTGTATATTGGTGACCATGATATAGAATTCTATTCAATAATATTTGGAAATGTTGGCCAATTGAATTTTGTCATTTCGAGCAAAACAATGCTAATGATATGTGATTTTATTTATGAAAACGGGTGGCATTTCGATGACTGAGATAATTTTTCGTTGCAAACAGAACATTTCTCGTATGATCCGATTAAAACTCAAATCGTGCTGAAAACGGTAATTGAAATAGCAAAAATAAAGAACAACTGATGTAACATTCATTGCAACATTTTCAATACACATATTTGACTGATCATATCTGCAAAAAATTCTATTTTAAATCATTGATTAATAAAACAAGTTTTGCTCGTCGCATTTTTCAAAAAAAGCACTTAATCAAAAACAAATTGGAGATAAAATTTGACTGCTGACAACACCAATAAAGCGACAAATTTTTTTAAAATGGTATAAATTGATTGAAAATTTCGATCTTTCTCACCAATATCAAACAATCTGTGGCGACATATTTAACAGAGCATCCAGTGATGCTATACTTGTTTCTATTTCGTTTTACTAAATGTAACATAAAGCTATCACGCGTTAAATGCATAAATGAACTGACCATCTATTCGAGCCGTCGAATCTATTTACTATAGTTCACTCTTCTGTGATACGATATATACATACATATATACATTTCGAAAATATTGTGAACGCATATTAGTTTTCTATTACAATAACAGATATAATTTATAAATATTAAATGTCGCAAAAGTTACCTTTACACTTATTTACAAATGTTAGCCTCTTTCCCTTCTTTTTCTATTCTTGATTCTTCTTTCATAAAAAAGCAATTCGAATGGCAATAAACAAAACAAAAAAGCAACATAAAATGTGTTTCTCTCTCCATTCTATACCTTCACGTATCTATGATGAAGAATATCATTAGATAAGAAAAGAATGCGTATAATCCAATGAGATAATATTATGACAGAACAGAGATGGCATTCTTATGTCAGGAGATGTCTCTTCAGACATAACAATAAACAAGATATATATAATATATCACAGTTTATTTCGAAAAACAAGTAATGCGAATGTTATTAGCATTAAAGCCTCGTACGAACTCGTCAATTAGTCTCAAGAAAGTCGTTACGAACATTTCACTATCATCACTCAGTTTCATCACTCAATAGTGCATATAAAAGTGCATCAATAATTTGAAACATCATATAGTCACGATTTCAAGGAATGATACTATGCACTTCTATTTTCATCTTTATGTATTCATGATTTCATACAGAATATCATTTTGATCTTCTTGATCTTCTTTAAAACATTTCTCCAATCACTTTGTGCTTCTTGCATTTTCCTAGCCCATATGTTCTCATTAGGAATATGAGTCTAATTCGTACATGAGAAATAACACACTCATATGTTTGATAAAGGACTGCCTTTTATATCTGAATGTCCTTGATGAGCTGAACAAGAGATGTTTTCAATACATCATCACCCATTCATAAGTTTGTTTTCGTCACTATTGTGGACATGGCGATGTATTTGTAATGTCAAAAAATGATACATTGAACGTAATTTCAATAGCGAGAAAGATGACCATGGCAAACCAGTTGTTTAATCTTATTTTGGATTACATAATCAATGATAGTGAGGAACGCCTAAAATAGTACATGCCAATCAATACAGCATGATTGCAAATGCATTATTGTATCGTTGCCTGAGAACAGTAGAGAAGCCGTATTTGGAAAGTCAAAAAATAAAATGTGCTGAATTTAAATGATTATTTTGTGCACTTTTGTTAAAATCATTCCATGACTTGAGTGCATTTCAAAACAAGAAATCATCAAAACTGGCTTTACATGCTTGTTGGTTGTTTGTGAATGACACATGTCATGACAAAGAACCGTAAAAGCAGTACTTTCCCACGTGAAAACATGCAATATTTTTCCAATGCTTGGTGCTATGTTCGTCGATCACTAGAGTGAATGGAACTTGCTGAACCTAAAACATAACCTTTCATAGTGCAATCTATCTGGTTCAACACATCCCAGTCATATGAGGTGTTCAAAATACAAAAACGTTGTTGCGAAGTTTATATGTAAAGTATATGATTACTGTCATGCATTACAAATCGTTTTCAGGGGATTGCATCATGTAGTACGACGTAACATTTACTTGTGAATCTTTTAAATTGAAGAAAGAGCTTATTTCACATTCCGAATTTTGATTTTTTCAACTACTGATGTAAATGTCTCTTTTTAGATGTTTTGTTCATTATTTTCATCTCAAAATCATCATTATCTTGCATGCTTTCGCTTCTAGGATGATTAAGAAATGATTAAAAATACGTCAACTTTCACATATCATCGATGAAAGTGTTTATTTCATTGTCAGAAGCTTCATTTTTTTTATTACTGTGGTCATTTATATTTTGAGACATTTTTTGAGTAGTAAATAAGTGGATAACAAGTCCTATGTCAAACTGCTATTTATGCATATGGTCAAAAAATTTATTATATCTGGAGCTCCGTTGCAATCTAACTCTCAACATAATCCTGTGCAAACTTATCCATTTTTGGCTGATCACCGATCACCCTAGCCTTCTCCGTTGGATCGGGCGTCCTTTACGACTCTTACCTGATTACACTTGAGAAAAGACTAATGCATTTGTTATGAAAGATTAACTGTTAGCTGTTAGAAAGTAAAACAAATGCGTCACTAAAATCCCGAATTAATCTATCAGGACAGCAAGCTGAGTTACATATAGGAAAAAAAGAATGATGCGGTGTTTGACTTAAAAGGATGCTGAAAGTATTTTTGTCGTTTCAGCGAGACACAGAGTCAAATTTTAATATTTTGAATGATGATGCCGATATTTTTTGTGTAATTTTAAATAATTTCGCCCCGGCAGTTTTATATATATTGATTGTTCGTACATAGACTAATGACCATTTCACATTGGTAATAATAACCCTTTCAATACTTTTCGTTTGTTTAATATTGTGGCTTCGTAAAAAGGTCGAAATCATCCTTCACTTGTAGCTTCTTACTAATTGACTTTTTGAATTTTGAGCGTATTTGAAAAATATTTCTTAAAATAAAAGATCATTTGCGTAGCGGCATAACTAAGGATTTTTACAGGAGAGGAAGAAAGAATGGAAAAATTTCGTTGTTTGCTTAAGTGAGAGGTATTTAGAGGGAGGACAAAACCATTTCCAGAAGATCATTGTATTTTCGTTTTCCCTAGAAAAAGTTTGAAAGTTTTTATTTTCGATATGGCTTTGTGAGAAATCTGGTGTCTTTCCTTCCTCGAAACAGATGTAAATTGCATGATGTACGTTAGAAAATAGCAGAGCACAGAAAAACAAATGACCAATGTGCAGACCTTTTTGTATTCTATTGAGTTATTTTTGTTTTATTAACTTTCGTTTCTACCAAATTCTTCATGAATATTGACACAATCAAAAGTGCGATGATAGAGCCTTATTCCATGGATGCATTTCGTTTTAATATACTACAATTTTATGAAATGACACTGATATTTATAAAAAAACCCACCAGCTGTAGAAATCTAACAACATTCAATGTGTTTTCATGGACCATTTAAACGAGAACAGATGATGGCATAGAAAGAGAAGCCAATTAAAGACGTTAGCATATTGAAGAAGTCAAGATAAAAAAAACTAGTAAAAGACCAAAGACTACATTATAAATACTGTTTCATAATCAGTTGAATAATAAAAGTAAAGGCGACGAGAGAAAATTTCCCGTAATTAGGGTTAAAACAGTCATCATCGAGCTCAAATCAAGTTGAAGCTAATTTTAGCAGATTCAGTATTGAATTCTGCATCGAATAGCGTATAAGATCATGAATATTGTTACTTCGACATGACAATATGTCAATTTTGTCAAACTCTAAGTGTTGTTGAAGAGCTGAATAAAATATCTTCCTCTTTCAATGTTATTTATGTCAATCATCAACTAATTCAATTCTTTTCTTTATTCCTAACAAGCAGATTATGCATGTATTGGAAATACTCATTTATTTAAGAGTAAACGGTTAACATATCGGTAGTACCCCGATAGTGTATATTGCAA